ATTTAAAAAATATCTGAAAAACGTAATTAGAAATCGTTAATACGTTATTATTGATTTTGGATTCATGTAATTCAAAATATCTAAACATCTTCTGAAAACGGTGGTTTGCTTTATACTAAGAAAATCTGTTTAACTTGTAATAAATTTATATTTCATTTCATTTAATCTAGAATATAATACAAAATGATCGTAATAAATACCAGTAATTCTTAGCCTCTAAGAAATTTAACGCTTAATAAAAGCGATTTGCTTTACATTTTAAATTTAGAAAATTATTTTGTTAAATAAAAACTTTATATTAATACACTTTCATGTAATATGAACTGGAATACAAAACAAAATGAGTGCACTGTTTATCATGCCCTCAAAGATCTTCGAAGATGGTCATAAATATTGTTCCCATAATAATGTTCTATCACAAACCATCATGCTTTTTGTTGACCATCATGATTGCGCAATACCCCAACATGTTGAATAACACGTGACGATTCAAACAAATCAACGAGGGTTTGTCACATTGTGATTTAAAAGAAAAACAGGATTATCACGTTATGATTTAAGAGGAGATCATTCATTTTTTTACTAAACCATTTAAATTTTATATTAAACTTTAAAATTTTATGCATGATTGTAAAACATTGACAACATTTATAGATTGAAAAATAACATTTATAAGATTGTTGTAAGATTGACTGTTTGGTGTAACGAACGTATTTGAACGATCGTAAAACAACATTTTCAGACATTAAATTGTGGAAATGTTTGGCTCAAAAATTTCCGACATAACATGATGGTTGGCCATCATACCGTAAAATATCATTTTTCAACATGAAATGATGGACGTTTGTTGGCCCATCGAAATCCATTACGACATGATGGGAATTGTTGGATGTTGGTTACCATTAACTGGAGTCAGTCCAACAAGAAACCAACATAAACCATCAAAATATCTTGATGGTTCTATCAAGAATTTTGTCTTGGGAAATGTTATAACATAGTTTCTATTTCTAAATTATAATTCCAAATTGCAATTTAATTTTTTTTCCAGACCATTTCAAACTTCAATAAAATTTAAATAGCGATTCCAATTCGATCACTTTTCTTGCTAACTATTTTAAATAACTAGTTCAAAGTATGCTATATTTAATTTTGTTTGAAATAATTAAGCTTACATGACCTAAAAAAGTTTTGTTTTTTCAATCTTTGAATTCGAAGTAGTGTAGTAGAGAATAAACATTAAATTGCCATTCAATTTTCAATTCCCGCCAAAAAAAGAGCCATGTCGGTCGATTATAAAGAATAAAAACTAAGAGCAATTCTGCATAATACATCAAACGGATATAAACAAAACGGATACATCCTCTGAATTATATCAAAACGGAAAAATAGCCCAGATTCAATTTTGACCTTCACCGCTGATTCCCGACTTTTTTTTACTCAGTTCTGAAAAGAAAGTTGAATGAAAAAAAAAAAAAACACTCGGCACTAGTCAAATAAATCATTAAATTTTTTATCGACAGCCATCTTTCTGTTAATTAGGACATGTTTCATTTTTGCACGCATGTCCTAACTTAGACCTTTCAAAAATCCGCAATCACAATTCAGTTTCGTGATCGAAGGAAAAACAAATAAGAATTTATGAAATGTGTTATTGAAGCAGTAGATTAATATCTGGTATTCATAAATGTTGAGTAATGCTTTTTAATTTAATGTTGTTTTGTTTAAAAAAAACTGAATAATTTTTATCATAATGAATGAAATATCACGTTTTAGATAGGATCATTGATTTGCGTGAGCTGTGAAGTGCTTAAAACTTTTTTGTTTATTTCTAAATTCTTTTTTTTTAAACTTTTATTTTAGGAAATAGTGTTCGATTGCAATTCAGCGAGTTTCTAGATGCTCAGTCATGCGGTTTCTAAAAAAATACGTTTTTTTTTTTTGTTTAGTAAAATTATTAAAAATTCATGATTTAATACATACATAGTGCTTGTAATTAACAAAATGGTAAGAGAAAATTTTACTACAATACTTTCTTATAAATAGTTAAATATTTGAAAATATTAATATACGATCTTTCAAGAATTTTGAGGAATAATTCGTAAAACTTTATTTTCTGCACCAATTTCATGGGAATATACTAAAATTCCAAAATCCTAAAATTTGGAAATAGTCTGGAAAATGTGATTCAAAATAGTGGATATGTTTTTATTCATTTAGGATGTGTGATAATTAAAAAACTTTAGAATTCGTCTAATTCGGAATTTAATATAGCTGATATGTCATTAATTTAAGATTTATTATAATTCAAAAATCTTAGAAATCTTCACAAAAATGTAATTTGAAATAGTGGATGCATTATTATTGATTTTGGACTCATGTAATTAAAAAAAAATCTACTTATCTTCTGAAAACTGTTTCTTGCTTTACATTTAGAAAATCTCTTAATAACTTACAATAAATTTAGATTATTTAATTTCATTTTATATCCAAAAATTTATTGTACCCACAAAACTAATAAATAAATCTGAGATATTTTTTGATTAATTTTATATTGTTGATTTGCAATAGTATATAAAAATTTCAATTTCAATAATATTAATTATGATAATTGCTTGTGAGATTTTGAATAACAATTTAATTAACAAACAAAATAACTCTGTTTTTTCTCTGTTTCATTGTTAGAATTTCCATTCTAAAATTATGGTAAATAATCGGTAGTAGTCTGTCCCTCCGATTAACCTTAAAGTTTGCGGTAAAGTATATTTTTACCTTTACTGTTTTAAAACCGTTTACAACCAGTATATTAAAAGGACCAAAAATACAAAACTATACGGTTTTTAAACCATTTACTACTAGCATGGTTTCGAAACCGAAAAAATAAGTTTAACTGTACAATGGGGGTAGTTTAGCAGATTTATGGTGCTGCCATCTACGCGTGAATGAGAATATCGTATTTTAATACTCCAGGGTTGCAAATTAAGGATTGCATGACACTAAAAACTCTTAATGTGTTGAAAGGAATGGAGGAAATATTATGGTGACACCGCTGGGACACGAACTCCCATTCTGTCGGTCATGAGATTGGCAGAATCTCGGGCATAATATGTATCCATCTGCAAAGAACTAAGCGGCCTCTTCGGGTAGGCCTAGTTAGTGCGATAAAATTCTGGTTGCTTAACCGTATTAGGTGAAATCAGTTAATAAACGATTTTTCTCACAGTTAACAGTTTGAATACCATCTCATGTATGATTATTTAACTGTTTTGCTTGAATATGGTAAAATAACAATTAAATAAATTGTATTTAACCATTTTCTGTGAAGTGTTGGGAAAAAAAAACTTTTTCCTTCTCTTACATTGCAAAACCACAGTTCATTTATTTCAAATCAACCATGAAATATGGAGAACACGTTTTATATCATCAAATTCCTATTTTCATTCAGGGTGCTCCACTGTTTTATGACTTTCATTTGCCGCCCGCGAAGCTATAGCTCCCCCGCCCAATATTTCCTTCTTTAATACTGTAGGAAAAAAAAGAAAAGAAAGAAAGAAAGGGAATATAGCTATGTTGCTCAAAACAAACTACTTTTGGATGAAAATGGAAAGTATAAAGGTGAATCATTGGTATTCTTCTGTCTTGAACCTCGACATGAATTACTGTAATGTGTGGGAGGCCCCCCACACTGACGCGCAAACCGCTATTCCACGTTAAAAGACGAGCCCTGTGACGTCCCTCCCAAAAACACGAAAATAAAATAATAATAAACAAATAAAAAAACGAAAGTTTTAAGTTTTGGGAATCGCCCTCTTCTTTACGTCCGTTGTCTTGTATGACAGGACATGAAACGGTTCAGATCTATGTTTTGAAACTCTCTTCCGCAAATTTAATTTTTAGCTTTTCTAAAAATATTATTGGATTTTTGCGGGAAATTTCAACGATGCCGCAAGTTTTGGGGATTTTTGCTGTTACTGGTAAAAAAAAATTTCTTTTAAATTTTTTTTTTGATTAAAATTAGTACTTTTTAGGTTGTGTTGGTTTACATTTGAACCCAAATCCGTTGTCTTATAAGACTGTACATGTTAATCATACATCGAGTTGTCTTTTGAAATTTTCTTTAGTTAATCCAATTTTTAGTTTTTCTAAAAATATTAAGTTTTTGCATATTTAAACGATTTTTCTTGCTAAAGTTCAAATTTGTTGGTTTTAAATGTCTATCTTATCCATAATTAAAATTTTGTTATAATTTGTTTAAAAATTTTAATATTCGTCTATCTTTTTGTTAATCTTGTTAAAATTACAGCAGTTGCTGAAATTGAATTAAATTTTTGCCCTATATATAGAGTTTCTTTTTCTATTTATTTTATGTTTTTTAGGATTTTTACAGTGAATGAATGTAGAAATCGTACAAGGAAATTTATAATACTAGTGATACTTAAAATACATCTTTACATTAAGTCTGTAATATAATAAATTTTATGTAAGAAAATGTTTTTAATTCACTATTGTTTCTCTTTTTTTTCAAGCGGAGTTAATGAATATGCTAGTTTACTTAATTCTATATAAATTATACATTCCAGAAGCTATAATTACAACATTAAATTAGATTATTATATACGTTTTTTTAAATAGGAAATGTGCGATTTTATATTTTAATTAAACTTAGGAAGTTGTACACAAATATACCACTTTTATAAAGTATACCAAAAATAATCCTTCACTTTTTCAATAGCGTCACTTTTATTTCGCAAAATAAATCATTTAAAAAAAATAATCTTCTAAATTTATAAGTTATCTTAATCGTAATAATAATTATTATAGCAAGCATTAACTATGTTACATTTCTTAGTATATTCTTCTATGCATGTTATTACTCTTAGTGTGGTTTCAACAAATATTATTCACATATCTTTTTATGGTATCTTCTTTATTTTGTTTACCATAGATGTTGTAACTTTTTTACTTGCAGTAACTTACACATTATCTTTTTTCTCTTCCTGCAGGTTACGTGGGGGTCGGGAACAAGGGTCCACCCTCTGTCAACAGTTCGAGGTCCGGATCTCCCCATACCTCCTCACCCTCCCCAGCATCATTCATCCCTCAGCCAAAAAGTGCCGCTAGGGAACGTATTGGTCTTGATAAAAACAGATCCAGGTAATCATCCTTTCTCATTTTCATAAGATGTCATCATTCACATGTTTCTGAATTAAGTGTATAAAATACCTGAAAGTGGTTCATTTTTTATTTACAAAAATGACCAGAGCTCTAACTAATTTTAGAAACATAAGGATGCTCTTAAGCCTCTTCTTCGAAGGCTTCGTCGTAACGTGAAATAGTACTTTTTTGCAAATAATATGGTATTTTTAAAACTGCAACTGAGTTAGCAACTGTTACTCATGATTGTTAGGTCAAGTTTAGTCTATCTAAAGCCAGCGCTGTTTGCGCTTATTTTGAAAATGGTACAAAACGTCACTATGGAGGAAAGCCGTAGTTTTGTGAAAATGAAAAGTGTTTATGCCCTAATTTTTTAACATTTAAAAACTTTCTCCGATACACATTACCTTGACTCATAAAAATTTACAAAAACTGAGAATAAGGCAGCTACTTTGATAATTTTCATCTTGGTGGCAAAATGTCGCCAAATTGGCAATTTTTAAAAAAAGTTAAATAACTTTTAAATATTTAAGTTATTTGTCTGTTCTAAAGCCCAGATAATTCTTCACGCCAAGATTATATATAAGTTTAAAATCATCGCATTGCTTTAAGTGTAAGGCTCTTAAACTATGGCTTTCTTATTTTCTTTGGCGACAGGGCTTCAAAAAACAGGGTTATTAAATACTGTCGATAATGTAATAGTTGAAATATTTGCAAGCGATTATACAGACGCAAAAGCAAAAAGCACATCAGAAATGAATTGGCCTACTATTCGTGATCATTTCGGAAAAAATAATATTTGGAAAAAAAAACACATTAAGAACATACTCGTTCAGAAAAAGGGATTTATTGTACCACAATATTGGTGTCTTGAACCGCAATATAATTGCAGACATTTGCTGAGAACCTTAATAAGATGTTGAATTCAACCATATTTTGGTTCAAGTTGAACCAGTATGGTGTTAATCAGTTCAACTTAGTATTAAGATAGCTACGAATTTGAACAGTTGTACGCGCGCCCACCAAACCTTGCAGCAGTGAATAAATATCAATTTTAACTACTTTTCTTGGATCTATTTGTTGTTTTTAAGCAGCATTATTTACTGCATGTGCTCACACGGAGAAAAAAATCTCGTAAATTTACCGTCCTCTATGTTAAGAATATTTCTGGTTAAAAAAAAAAAAAAACTTATTTCTGGTTAATAAAAATCAAAATACGCGGTATTTAAAACCATTCATTTCGTTTTTGTGTTCTTGTAGTAAAGGTTTACAGGAAATTCTGGTTTTCTAAACTATAGTTCTGATTACTACATATTTAATACAAAACTGAAAAATAAATTTAATCTAATAAACGGTTTTTATGCCATACTCTAAGGTACCATGTTAAAATAACCAAATTTTACCCCATTAACCAAATCTCATCATTGTAAAATAATATTTTATCGTTAATTTTACCAATGTAAATTCTACCATATTTTGGTAGATTTGACTGTTAAATTTTTCTTTGTGCATCATTTTTTTAGTAAAAAAAAAACATTAATATATTGTTTTTCGTTTCGTTTTTCTATATTTTATTAAATCCTATCTCATTTATTTTATTTTATTAAACTCTCAAAATCTATTCCAACTTTAAATCATAATATCTTTAACTATAATACCATGCATTCAAGTCTTTAGTTAATTTAATTTTCATGATAATATTGTTCTACTTGACATTGACGTGGCAATTTTGTACGATATTGTGGTTCAATGCATACCATGATTACTTAAAAGTGTTTTTTAGATTACTTTATTCGTATATATTCTCTAATTGGCAGCAGTCACGTTATACAGAACTTAATGCACTATGATAGTTACAATTTGTATTTTTGTGAATGTTAATTGTATTTTATAGATTACTATATAGAGCAAATACTAAATTCCTCTGTACACTTTTGTAAATTTTGGGACGTGTTTACACTTAATTTCAAATTTTTTGAAATTCTTGTTGCACAATTACTCTGCCGATTTGGACCATATTATAATGTAAATTAATCCTTCTGGAGCTTATAACACAATACTATCTTAAAGGAAAAAGGAAAGCGAAAACATGGTTCAATTTAAAATTTTATGGTTCATTTAAAACGGCAACTTCTACGATATTATAATTAGGCTTTGAACAGAATTTTTCGAGAGAGCAACTCCAAAAGTGTCACCGATGACCTGTAAAACCTAATTGTGCGTAATATAGATTAAATTTTCTGAAATAAATACGAATGTTTTGAAATTCAATTTTGAAATTCAGAATTATTCGACCGATTACTCTCGAATTTTGTATTTTGATATTAAATATCTTATACTTAACAATTCAAAATATTTTCGACTGTTATTAGTTTTAAAAAAAATCGAAAATTATAAATAATTATTAAAAATAATTTTTTGCATGGAAGTATCTTTGAATTTTATAATTGTATGCAAAAATTTTACAATTCGCTTAAAAAGGTTTAGAAATAGCGTAAATACGCAAAAAGTAAAATTAACTTTAAAGGTAAACTTTGGACCGCTCTCCTGACCAAGCTATTGAGATCATATTTCCTAGATTATGTCTCCCCTCCCCCTCCCTTGTATTTTGGGGGTCAGAAATCATGATCCATCTTAAAAAAAGCTATGTTTATTTAAAAGAATGCCCGTTTTTGAATTTGATTTCGTAATTTAAAATATCGTCTGCACTAATTAACTAGCATATTCGTTCCCTCGAACAATCGCAATGTTCTCTCTAAACAATTTTAGAAGGGCGACCCGTCCCGCATGCCCTTTCATCCCTATAAATGGGCCCTCCTTGCCCTTTTAGATAAAAAAAAAACCTGCCATCCCTTAAAAACACTGCCTTTTATTTTATTTTTTCAGGTAAAGGTTGTTTTCTTCACCATCTGTTTCAATGAAAAGTCCACTTCTGATTTATTTAGTTATTGAAAATTATTTAACGTTAATTTTTAATTTCATTACTTCATTCTAATTGGATTTTTCTTACGTTGTCTAGTTATATAGTTAAATTCACCTGATATTTGGCCCCAAAGAGATTCATATCTTTTTCTTTCCTTTTTTTGACGGGAAGTATATTAAGGAATCTTTTAATGATTTTAAATTTTACCATATTTTTTTAAAAAAATAAATAAGTACTTTTATTTAAATATACACCCTTAAATTATTATCTTCTCATAATCTTTAGATTAAAATATAACGAAAGCTTTAAATTTGTTTATCAATAAATTTTGTTTTGAAGAAAATCTATACGCAGAAATCGTCTTTTATCTTGCCTTCAATTATTTTTCAAAAGTTACAAATATTTCTGTTATTTTATTAATGAGTAAGAATTATTTTGTGAAATATACATATAAAATAGTATTTTTGCACCGAAACAATAAAAAAAACTGACATGACATTTAATTTGATCCTCAAACCAATATAACAGAATCGATTGCATTTCTGAAAATTTAAGTGATAATTTTTTGCACTTATCACTAATAATTAAAATATGCCTAAAGCAACATCTCAAATACATGCATCTGTTATAATTATATTCAGTTCTTGTCTTTATTAAGAACCTAAAAATCTCACGCTAGCACGATATATAAACAGTTGCAATGTCTGAAAACAATTTGCTCATTTCGAGCGTATTTTTTTTACAATGAAAAGCAATTAGAAAAACTTCCTTGTGTTGCATTCTGGAATAATTAGAAATTATGAGTCTCTTTAGTATCCCACACCCAATTTCCTGCTCACATTTTTCTTATTGCTTTTAATTGAATTAACGCCATATTTTTTGAGCAATTATTTTTCTAGATTTGTTAATAGTTGGTTAGAAAGCGGCATTTATGATATCATTTATTTATTGAGGTCGACAACGTCTAACGCAAGTTCATCGGTTGTTGTCATAAAATGGTACTTTTTTGTCTTACTGGTCATGTTGAGAATAATGACTAATAACGTTAACAATTATGAAAAAATGTGTTAAGAATTAAAATGTTGAGAAATATTAAAATTTCAACAATTACGTTTATAATTGAATTAATAATGTTCAGAAAACTTTTAATAATTTAAAATGTAATATTTATTAGAATGTCTAGAATAATAGAAAACTGAGTGTTGAGTAAATAATAAAAAACTAAATATAGTAAAATTGTTAAAATATTAATGATAATTAAAAGATTTTAATTATTTTTGACATAAATTTGGTTATTTCAGTTTGCATTAATTTAATTATTTTGTTTTTACTATAAAATCATCACAACTAATTTACAAAGATTTGTAACGGATTAATTTTTTAAAATAAAATTATCGTAGGATGATTTGTTGTCTTACTTTTTTCGAGAATGTTATTATTTATTGCACTTTTCTTTTTATTTGCAAGTAATTCAATGTTTAGAAAAATGAAGAAGTGTAAAAATGATTCTAAAAACAGAAATATTAAAGGTTAGTTTTCTGTATATTATTATTTAAACCATACTAAGGTTTGAAGTTTGAATATTGTACTTCATCACCAAATTGCAATTTATATAAATGAATTCGGTTTAATTATATTTTATAATAATTGTCAATTTGCAATGTTTTCTATGTAATTAAAGTAATAAAATTAAATAAAAGTACCCACTAGTCTTTTGAAACCATTTACATACTTCCGAGTTCATGAAGCTTATTTTTTAGTAAAAATATCTCGTTTTTCGAGAGTAAATTTACTTTTATTAGTTAAAAGGTATAACATTTTTCCTGGATTCAATTTTCCCTTACATTTCCATAAAGTATTATTATCAAAGTATCATTTTGTGATGGTTACAATAAATTTTCTATAGTGGAGAATTTACTGTAAAAATGTCTGTAACATTGGTATAAAAGAAAAACATTTTAAATACTGAATCTGAAAATACTAAATATATCTCTAAATTCCATTGGTTGTTTAGATTGAAACTACATATTATTACTATTCTAAATTTAAATAATATTACAATAATGAACACTTTTCT